TAAAAGCTCAATCTTGCTGTTCCTTCTGCCCATCTCACTACCATGGGGAGCAGAGCTTTCAGCCGCTCTGCTCCCCGTCTCTGGAACCCACTCCCCCCAGACGGGGAGCTCTGCTCCCCGTCTCTGGAACTCACTCCCCCCCAGACGGGGAGCAGAGCATTCAGCCGCTCTGCTCCCCATCTCTGGAACTCACTCCCCCCAGACATCAGAAATATTGACAGTTTCACCCTCTTCAAATCCAGACTCAAGACACCTGTTCAAATCTGCCTATGACCTCTGATTTCATTTGAATTGTTATTTTTTCCTTTTCTTCATTGTGTTTTATTGTTTTAATGTATTTTACTGGATGTATTTTTCCTGTGAAGGGACCTTGGGTGTCCTGAAAGGCGCTTTTAAATAAAATGTATTATTATTATTATTATAAAAATGCCTGTTTGCCTATTCGTTTTCACAAAGATGACGCAGAACAAGCTCACGTCCTCATCCCAGGATCTTTACACACATTTTTCATCCATGATGCCTGCGAAGGAGATGCGTGACTGAACTAGTTCAGCTCAGAGGTAAAGGGTTCAGATTCCAGAAAGCGCCAGGGGGGAAACCGACAGTGAGGCGTTCGCTCCAGGTCTGTGAGGGACTGCCAGGGCCCCTCAGAGAGAGGGGGTGGGGGGGGCTCATCGAGGCTTTAAGACTTTGTTTTTATTTAGAGGTTCAACTTTTATTCTGAGATAAACTTTGCACTGAAGAGGACTATAAATATGTAAACTACCTTTTTGTCTCCGTTTGTCACAATGCTGGTGTTTTGTTTAGGACAATGGATTTTGTGCATTTTGGCTTGCCATAACGATGCTGACCAAAACCAGAAAACTTTTCTTTTACTCACAGATTGAGGACGTCCTGCTCCTGAGAGTCAGGGAAAAACACGTCTCCTCCACCTCCATCTTTCTTCCTCTTCTTCAGCCTCCGGAGAGACAGCAGGCGTCTCTTCTTCTCCTTCGGGGTGAAGAGCGTGGCGTCCCCGGCCAACGTCGCGCTGTCTCCGCGCCTGAAGGAGCCGGGAGACACCGGAGCTGTACCCAGGTCATCCCGGTGGATGGTCGCCGACGCGTCTTTGAGCGACGTCGCGCGCCTCAGCTCCTTGTTCTCCTTCTCAGTGGATTTGGATTTGAAGGGATTCCTTAACTTGAGCGAGCTGGACCTGCTCATGGTGTCCGACCTCAGAGGAGAGGCTGCGCTCAGGAAAGCAGCTGACAACTGACTGAGGATGAAAACAGGAGCGGGGACGAGGGGGGCGTGACGCACCGGGAAAACCTGCAGAGCAAGTTGGCGCTGGCGCGTGCTCTCCAGACACCCACAACGGTCACGCGCGCCAAACAGGTAACTAATAAAGCCGCAAACGCAGGTAACTTCTCACGTTAACCTTCAAATTAATAAATGCACGATTGTTCAGACAACTTTAGGATCAGATGGAGAATTTCTGTTAAAGAGGTTTGTTCCTCAAACAGCCTCAGTTAGGAGAAACAGGGATTAGTGCAGACTCAGATTCCAGCGGTGACCAGCCTACCTGGAGAAAACCATGTATGCATGGGGAGAACATGCAACCTCCACACAGAAAGACCATGTTGGGATTTGAACCTGTGACCATACCTGGCCTGGGGCGGTCCCAGGAGTGGTGTGATATTACGTTCGTGCTGCCACCTACACCGTTATGTAAACAGTTCTCAAATATATTATAGTAGTTTTTCTTTTTACTGCAGGACATCAAGATTTTTACAAACAAGACAAAAGAAGAACCAGTACCGACGTTCAAGGGTCAGGAAGCGTCGCTGCAGCTAGCTTGCTGCTTCTCCGGCCCGACTGTAGCGGTTCACCTGTTCGTGTCCAGTCCACCGTGTGTTGACCAGGAAGTTGTTCTCTAAACGAGTAAAAAACTCGGTTAATGTTCTGCCCAAAGCTTTACAGTTACAGGTTTTGGGACGCTCATTTGTGTTTGCCACGACTTCCAGTGTTTTGTTTTCCACCGCACAACCAGACAACAGGTACAGGAGCCTGCAGAGGTCAAAATATCTCAGAAACAACCTGGAACCTTTCCTTACTCATTGATATGAATGAATACTGACAGATTCCAGCCAGATCTTTTTATTTTGATTATAAATAAAAATACCTGTATGACATTTGAAACATGTAGCTCTGACTCTTAAAGGCCAAGCTCACAGAAAATATAAAAATACGCCGTTTCCAAAACAAACAACACTTAAAATTAATTGTATTTTTGTTGTTTCACAGCTCCAAGGAGCCCCAGACCTGTAACCCAGAAGGTGCTGCAAACAGCATCGCTTAATCAAGTTTACATTGTTTGTTTGTTTTTTTTGGGGGGGGGGGGGGGGGGGGGGGGGGCTACAAGCTATTTTGAGATAATCTTATCACAAAGGAACGAGTCAGATCAGAGGACTAAAGGAAACAAAGCTGAGAATCTGTTATGGGGAAGGAAGTCAATTCTAAAAAGAAAAAGTTTTTTGAAGAACTAAAATATTACAACATATTAAAGGCTCTCATGTCAGGATAATCAGCCCAGAAAAGCAGAGATATGGGTTCTAGATCCTTGCTTCCCTGGGACGTTACTCGAGGTGAATCGTAAGCTGGACAATGTTCTAGCTGCGATAACGGTATTAGTGCGCAAAATGGATGTCATCTCGGAGAGAGCCACCGGACGGTATGGACAGGTTTCAACACCCGAACTGGCTTCACTGAAGGACTGGAATGATCTGTTTAAAGACTGAAGGCAGAGAGGAAAATTATCTCAGCCTGACCCAAACAAATTCTTGTTATCTGAATCTGACGCCCTGGTAGCCTTGAGCGGCAAGCAACTAAAACCCCCACGAAGGAATGCAGACAGATGCTGTTAAACCCCCCCCCCCCCCCCCCCCCCCCCGCCTTCGGATTGGTGGACTTCAGCCAGGCGAGGTCATCAACTGGAAGAGTCAATGTGCTCTTTGCTTCTCCCAAGATCTCCCTCCCACCTGTGACTGTACAGTAGGTGAGCACCGTAGATGGCTGCTCTCGCTGGGGGAAACAGGATCCCACCCCCCACCCCCCGCCTTCCTATTGGAGTCTCATGTTATGTTGTGTTGTCTGAAGTCTGTTGCATTTCTGTTGAGGTGGGTTTTTTTTTGCAGAGCAAAGCTGCCCTCCTGGTGGAGGGTAAAGCTTGGTTTATGCTTGACGCGTCCGTGAGGTCCGCACGGTGAAATTGCGTCATTTTAACAACCACGCCCCTCCACCACGTCTCCGCACGACCCAAACTTTCTGCACCGCGCACCTAGGAAATTTTCTAACTACGCGGACGGTCGGACACGGAAAAACATGGCTGACTGGCAAGAACTAGTATGGCAGAGGTTCGTAAATACAGACATTTGTATGATTCAGCTCTCAGAGATCACCGTGATCAACATGTTGTTAATAATTCTTGGAGAGAAATAGCTCGCACTGTCGGAAAAGACGAGGACGCTGTTAAAAATGCTGGAATGCCGTGTTGTAAACAGTAATTTCTACTTCTACTATGGTGTAGTGTTGGATGCATGCTGTAGAGCTCCATGCTGCCCCCTACAGTTTGGGAGGATATTGGCTCACCGCAGAGACGAGCCGCACAAACCATAAACGCTGCGAGTTGTGAAGCGCGTTCCATCCGCGAGCCGCATCACCAAGCGGAAAGTAAATGCGTCAAGCATAAACCAAGCTTAAGTCTGAAGTGCCTTTTTTTTCCCTCCACCTTAACAATCCTCATGTAACCCTCTGATCTCTATTAAGGTAGCGCGACTCGGGTTGCGAATGACCACAGTCACCAGTTCTTGTCACGTGTCTTGCCCATGTATGCTTGATCTCTGAGTTGTGTGTACTGAAACTCTAATTTCTCTCTGGGATTAATAAAGGATTGATTGAATGATTGATTGATTGATTGCTTAAAGCATCGTATCTCAGGTGTAAAGAGGTGACAGAAGTGTTGAGCGTCAGGAGGAGGAGCTGGATAAGAATGATGAAGGTTGTTTATGTAAAAGAAAAACTGTAAACACTGAATGGTAAGAAGAAACCACGATCACAAAAACAACCAGACTGTTTGTTCTGAAGAGGCTGCAGGTGAGTGATGGGGGGGCTGGAGGCAAACTAAGGGGAACCGAGGACCTCTAGTGGCAGCTAATGGTAAGGGAATAAACAAGTCAAAGGATGTAGATGATGGTAATTAAACTCACAAAAAGAAGAAATAAAAAATGCATTTATGTTTTGTGCATTTTTTATGTTTTCTCACATTTAAACACGTTAAGCTGCTGAAATGTAATAAAACAACAAGTTTAAGGTAGTTGCTGTCGGATCACTTTTAGCTGCAGGACCTACTCAGAACACTTAATAATTCATACATCCGTCTACAGGTCGTGCACGGAGAAGCCCGTGTGGGAGGAAGCGGTCTGTGTTGGATGAAATAAACACAAACATCTAGAGTTTCAAAACGGGAAGAAACCCAATCCGACCCTGAGCAACAAACATAAATCACTGTAAAAGTGCCGTTTGTTCCTCATGTCATCAAATCTAAAGCAGCCAGAAAAATCAGCACCGACTCCTTTTCTAAAAGCAGATTGTAAAATAAGTTTCCCACAAAAAATAAAATCTGAAATTTCTCAGCACAACCCATAAAATAAAAGCCCCAGATGATTAATAATCATTGTTAGGTGTAAATAAACAAATAAAGTTCATTTAAATTAAAGCCCAAATGATTGTTTAATTTTGCACATCGCAGAAAGAACATTATCTTCATAATTAACATTTTGTGTCCATGTTTTTCAACCTGATTCATACATCTGCGCTCATCTGGCAAAAAGAGATGGTCTGACATGTTATCTGAGCAGAAGTCCGTATTCAAGGCCATTTACAAGTCCGATACACAAGAGAACGCCAAGAAAAGGGCTGAGATGCTACTGAGGCTATAGATAAACCAGATGTGGTGACGGAGGTTTGAGGGTGTGGGACGCATGCAAACACCAAAAACCAGAGAGAGCAGATGAACGTCAGCCCTAGTGTCAGCTGCTGGATTTTAAATCCATTCAGCAACACAATTAATGTTTCTGATGGTGAAACTTTAATCAGCTTTCTGACCTTTTCCCTGTTCTCCCTACAGGAACAGGTGTGTTTGTTCACTGAGCAAAATTACACAACTTTTCTCAACAAATGAAATGTTTGTTCTGGAAAACAAGACATTTACAGGTCAGCACCAGGTGTGGGTGTCTGTAGGGGTTTTACTGGTGGAACCATCAGATAAAAGCTGCACATCTGGGGCTGAAACTCGACTTTGAGATCAAGACCAGAAGAAACAGAAACTGAAGTGAGAATGAGGTTTGAGCTTCCGCTGCTTCTGCTTCTGTTGTTTTTTTTTCTGCTTAGAGTTTGGTTACAAAACCGACACGGACCTGGTCTCTTCACACAGACGCACTCGAAGCATCTTTCAGGTTTTTCCAGCCGAGTGCATCATCCGCTCTCCTGCTTGGCTCCATTGTGCGAGGTATGTAGGCTCCACAAGGAACAAAGGCTGTTGACTTTATAAAATCAAAGTTTTCGTTTGTAAAATAAAATCGCTCATGCTGGGTAAGTGTATGGGTAAGTGACAAATACACTGTAAAAACTGTTCTCAGACAATGAAACCACATCAGCTGTAGATTATCTGTGTGTTAAGTTATTGAATATTAATTTAAACGAGTTTGAGATGATTTATTTCTCAGTCTTTATGTAAAACAAAGCTAAACGAGGTGACGCTGAGACTAGAGGACGTTTGCATTTAAAGCCTTTAGAGGTTCTTGTGAAATGTTTCTATTTCTTGCAGAGTGAAACTGACGTTTTCACAGTTTTTTAAAAAGCTACACGAGCTTCTGGAAGTCGTCTAAATCAGCCTCAAGATGTGTCGTCATGTTTCTGTTTTAGACAAAAGTGGAACGATTTTTGTTCAACTGCATCCATCACACAAACAACCTGTAATGTTTGCAGCAGCACGTCTTTCTTCTGCAGAATCTGATGCCAGATCAAAGGTTTAGCTAAAGACTCCAACATGATATTCTCCCGTCGGTTTTCACACCTGCGAGTTGCAAGGATAAATCAGATGATTAAATATTTCCACTGAAGGAAAGAAAAAACACATTTTCACGGTTTTTGCACGCTCAGGCGTGTCAGTAGCATGTGGAAGATTCGTCTGCAGCTTTGGTCGTCTTCCCAGGGCTCAGGAGGTGCTGAAGGTCAGCCAGGAGGCGCTGAAGGTCAGCCAGGAGGCGCTGAAGGTCAGCCAGGAGGTGCTGAAGGTCAGCCAGGAGGTGGTGTTGGTTACCCTTCAGCACCCTGAGATGTTAGCTAAGTCCATGGATGAACGGTCTACGTTCTACCTCATTGTAAAGGTGACCAACCCCCAAAACATTACGTCCAAACTTGTTTTTAAGCATTGTGTCTTTTTATTTATTGAAATCTAATCATAAATATAGCTAAATGTAAAAAAAAACACAAATTAAATCACAAATCAAATCAAATGTTGGCTATAAAGCACGCTTCATGGTAAAACGGACTCAAAGTGCTTACATTCCCATCTGCTTCGTCATAAAACATGAAAAATTTACACGATTTAAGGTCATTTAGTAACTGATTCAGCTTAATCTGGGGCTCCAAGTATGTTTTAGTTCTTTTAAGTCAGCAGCATCCTTGTTGGAGTCAGTTAATGTTTTTATTTTTATGCAGGCACCCTGTTTAATCCCACATATGCGTAAATCTTGTGTGTTTTTTTTTCTGGCAAATATCAAAAGAAAACTTCGAGGCAGAAAGGAGAATGAAAGTTTATCTCGGAGCATCTTTCTGCCCTACAAAAGCCTCCGTTTGTTCACATCAGCACATTAAAGGCTCTGGAGGAGTACGCCTCATGCTACTGGTCTACCTACACAAGAGCTGACGAATCAATGCTCAGCTAAAGCCCTCAGATCCTGTATCCTACGCATTTATCTCTTGTTGCGATCAGACGATGTCGGGGTTGCGGCGACCTGCAGTGCTGCCTGTTTCTGCACACGGGCCCGGATGTGTTACTGGGCTAAAATTGGGTCATTGAGGAGAGGAAGAGCAGAACTAGAGCGCTGCAGGCCGTACCCCGTCATCAGTATGTCAGGCTTCTTTCAGAATAAATTGTTATTTCAGTTATTTGTTGATTTGGTCAGATGAAGTTCGTGAAAACAGAAGGAATTTATCAGTCCTGACAAAACCATGCTTCTGTCGTTCCACAAAATGATCTTTCAAACACATCAGAACGTTTTTCTGCATGGTTGTTTCTCTCTCTCCAACCCCCCACTGCTTGATGCTAACGCTAGCTTACCTTTGCAGATGGAAAACATGGAGGACTACGTCAGCTGGCCTAGTGACGAACCAGATGAGGTGGTCTGCAACCTCAGCCCTCCCTCTGCGGAGACCCTGTCCCAAACCTACATCCACTCCCTCATCTGCGCCTCCGGCCTGATCGGCAACATCCTCGTGATGATCACCTACAGTTTCTACAAGAGAACAAAGACAATGACGGACGTCTATCTCTTTAATGTGGCTGTGGCGGACCTGACCTTTGTGGTGGCTCTGCCTCTCATCATCTACAACGAGCAGAACGACTGGTCCATGGGGTCAGTCGCTTGTAAGATTCTCCACTCAACCTACAGCATCAACCTGTACAGCGGCATGCTGCTGCTGGCGTGCATCAGCGGCGATCGTTACGTTGCCATAGTTCAGGCCAGGCGCTCATTTGGGTCTCGATCGAGGACTCTGGCGTACGGCCGTCTGATCTGCTCGACCATCTGGGTGTTTGCGATGGTGCTAACTCTCCCTACGTTCATCTACACGGAGCTCTCTGACGAACCGATCTTCACAGATTTCTCTGAGGAGCAAAACTACAGCGAGCTAGCTGACTTACAGGTGACATGCCAGCTCACTTTCAACAACTCCGACACAGCAAAGCTGATGAAGGTGATGGTGCCCAGCCTCCAGATGGCCGTTGGATTCCTCCTGCCCTTCATGGCGATGGCGTACTGCTACTTATGCATCGCGTGGACTCTCCTGAGAGCCAACAGCAGCCAGCGGCACAAGGCCGTCCGCGTTGTCCTGGCGGTTATCGCAGTCTTCATCGTGTGTCATCTACCCTACAACGTGATTCTGCTGATCCACACCACGTCGCTCTTCAAGGAGAGGAGCTGTCCAGCTGAGCAAACAAAGCTCCGGGTTCTGGCTGCTGCCAGGAGCATAGCGTACCTCCACTGCTGCCTCAACCCCATTCTGTATGCCTTTGTGGGAGTCAAGTTCAGGAGCCACTTCAAACAAATCATGTCTGACTTTTGGTGCTTCAGCAAAAAGTACATCTACTCCAATCGCTTGTCACGCGGCACGTCGGATACCTGCCTGTCGGGCACCAGAACCTCAGAAGGCTCCAACAAAATGTCGTCCTTCAGCATGTGACCGGGTTCTCCGTGAAGAGTCGTTCTCCAGCAGCATGATGCTCCTCTTACTGCACAGCTGGATGTCATTTGAACTTTTTAATGGTTTTGTATCCCAACAGAGGGAAACGGCCCTCACTTGAAGCCGAAGAGTTGATGCGTTTTTGCAGTTATAGAATAAGATGCAGTCTAAAGAACAAGAAGCCTTTACTAAAAACATTCAGCCTATTTCTGTGTGAAGTCTGTTCATCTTCAGAATTTTACTCTAATCCTGTTAAAATCTCTTAATTAGCATTTGATAAAAAAATAATAATAAAAATCTTATTTTTAAGATTTTGCTTGTTTTTATTTTTATTTTTTCAGGAAAAATATAAACAAAAATCAAGTGCAGATTTTTTAAAGACTAGTAAAACATATTTTTGGACAGATTCAGAAAATGGATCAGATTTATTAGTTTGGTTTTGTTTTAATTATTTATTTACCAATTAATTATTATTTTTTTCCAATAAAAAAAAGAAAAAGTCTGAATATGAAACTGGAACAAAAACATCTGGTGCCATTAAGCAAAAACTGAGTTAAAATAAACAATTCACTAACGCAACGCTTTTATGCTCCACGCACCACCTTCAAGTCAGAGAAACCTTTTTTTTACTTTTTAATCTATTTAAGTCAGGGGTGTCAAACTCATTTTAGCTCAGGGGCCACATCGAGGGAAATCTAGTCCCAAGTGGGCCGGACCGGTAAATTAAAAACAACTTCAGATTGTTTTCTTTTGTTTTAAAACAATCAAAGCTGGAGCCTGAGGACAGCGTATCCAAAATAGTACAAGTACAACACCTGAAGTGTACTTTAGTATTTGAAAAACTAAAAAACATTCCTCAGTGATTCAAAGAGCTTACAGATCACATGACTAGATCAGTTTCATGCAGCACTTAAAGTGTATTTAACCAATTTTACTGAACATCTTTTAGCTTTCACCGGCACATCAACAACAAGTCACATCCTGAGCGGCGGCCAACTTCAGGTGGCGCCTGAGGACAGTTTATCTAAAATAGTTCAACCACAACATCACTATTAGTCAAAGCACCTGAAGTATATTTTAAAATTTGAAATAGAAAAAAATAAAATTCTTCAGTTTATTTTCACTTCTGCATTGTAACGTATGAAAATAAAGTTTACACAACCGCCTCATGGGCCGAGTTTTCCCGTTTGCGGGCCGTTTGTTTGACACTCCTGATTTAAGTTCAATAAATGAAAAAATTCTTTATCTTTAAAAAATGAATACAAATGCAATAAAAGGGAAAAAATGAAAAGTGAAATATAACAACAAAAAAAATAAAACAAAACACACTAGTAACTAAAATAACCTTTTCTGATCTTCTAAATAAGATCCTGTTGAACCTTCTGACAGTTTAGATAACCGAGAAAGCAGAAGTGCTGCAGAAATGCGAGGTGCAGCTTTCTCACTCACTTTGTCTCTGCTCACGGCCACAGCGCACTTTTCTCTCAGAGAATTAGAGAAATACATAAAAAAGAAAAAGAAAGGAGGGATTTGCTGCAGCACAGCGTGATGCAGCCGCTCTAAAGCTCAGGTTAGATTAGGCAACAATACTAAACGTCTGCTTTGACCCAAAAATCATGAAAACAGTAATAATAAAGTGAAACCGTCAAAAATTGTGATTCAATGATGATGAAATCGTAAGAGGACCAAAAAGGATCTTTTTAGCCTCGATAATCCTTTTTCATCCACTGGAGGTCCTCAGTACTTAATAATTTGCACCTTGTTGTCAGGGCCGTGCCGAGACCTCTGATGAGGCGGGGGCTCAAAGTAAAAAAGGGGCACTTATAGAGCAATCCAACAAGTTAGAAAATTCTGATAATGAGACCCTTGGGTTCAAACAACATAATAAAAATAAATAAATTAGTGTCATTAGTGTTAATGTTAGTTCATAAATAATAGTTTTAGTTTTTAAAGCTGACTTACATCTAGAGGTGTTACAACCACATTTCTGCCCCTGATCCGAGTCCAAGTTGTTTGATTGTTGATTATCTTCCAATACTGAGTCCTGTTCTGATACCAGGTGGTGATGCAACGCATTATAAAAGAAGAAATAAGTCGTCCTTCTGTCTGTATTTGTCATTTTGTTGTTTTAGCCTGAAAAGGTCATTCATTCAGGAAGTACATTTAACAGAAATCAAGATACTTCATTACTATTGCACAGGTGTACAACCAAAGATATTATGTGCTTACTAAAGACAGCTCTAGTAAGAGGTAGTAAAATAAATGTAAAATAAATGCACCACAGAGACTTATCCAGTGTGATCTACAGCTATGTTAGCTGAGATCTTTTTCCTGTCAGTAGAAAATTCTTGATCCCATTCCATGATCTCACTGAACTTACCACTAAACATGAGAGCTCTGCTACCAACCTAACAACAACACCCTTTACACAAAGGCACCATCATCGCATACGTGGCAGGAGTCTCAGAGAAACTTAGAAGAATCTTCTCCAAACACAACATCCCGGTAAACTTTAACCCAACAGCACCCTCAGACAGAACCTGGTCCATCCAGAAGACAAAACACCCAAACAGAAGCTCAGTGGGGTTGTTTATGCAGTCCAGTGTAGGAGCACTGTCCAGATGTTTACCTTAGAGAAACTAAACAACAAGTACACAAGAACATAACACAACACAGGAGAGCCACCTCTTCAGGTCAAAACTCTGCAGTCCACCTCCACCTGAAGGACAAGGGACACACCTTTGAAGAGGACAAAGTCCACATTCTGGACAGAGAAGATAGATGGTTTGAGAGAGGAGTAAAAGAAGCTATCTATGTCAAAACGTGAAAACCCCACTTTAAATAGGGGCGGGGCTTAGATTTCACCTTTCCAGTACCAATAATGCAGCTGGATTTTATTTGTGACGTTTGTTTCCATAACTTCATAAAAGCTGCTGATGAAGATGATCAGACCGTCTCCTCCCTTTGGTTCTCGCTCTCCCGTCGCGGTCCGCACGTTTCTTTCTGTGACGCTGCAAAGCTGGTTTCCTTCTAATAGTGACGTTTGGAGTAACATGAATTACATCATGTAATACCTCGTTGGAAAGCTCGTTTTATGTACTTTTAGAAACCGTTTGAAGTATTTTTATTTGATTAGTAATTCAGAAGTTATGACCCGGAGAATCTAGACTGAGAAATATCAACATTTGTGATTCTTTGTGAGTTTCTGCAACACTTCAGGAGAAGTCTCTCTCGTGTCTCATTTTCTGTCCCAGACATGCAGCTACCCGACTCTGCTCCACACACACTAACCACCGACTCAAACACACGTAAACAAAAGCTCTGATATTAAAATTCATCCAGCTGACGTGAAGCAGGCAGAAAGAAAACTTACAGGTAGATGAACGCAGACTCCTGCCCGCAGGCAAAACACCCGTCTGTCGTCTCCATGGCTGCAAGGTAGAGTGACAGCAGGGACAACCAATCACATGTTAATATGATGCGGCAGAGCCAATAAGTGAGCTTGTAGGCGGGTCTAAGAGAAAATAGGCTTCAGCTTGGGGCGGCTGTCTCCACATGGTCCTAGTGCCTAATATGTATCACAGTATAACAGTTTTGTATGGTAAAATCTGACGAACGACCGCATAAAGGGCACTTTGGGCACTTCAGACAAAAGGGGCAGGTGCTCAAACCCCCCCCCCCCCATCATTAGTATTACTCTAATATAACGTCATTTCTTGGTAACGACTAATTTAACGCGTTACTATTTTTCCATACCAGTAATCATATTAAAGTTACTTGTCCATGACATACTGCGTTATTTTATCCTTTACTCTGAAGTTTTTCTGCTTAGGAAAATCTTGAGTGAAGGAAATCTAACATGGCATAATGGATTTGACCAATCAACACGCACTTTCCTTGCTCAAGGACAGCAGTGTATTGCTTCACCAAACAATAGAACGGCACCACGATGCCATTTGTTGGAATATAACTCTCACTCGTGGTGCAAAATTAAAACCAACGAAAAAGCACAGTAATATTACCGAACAAACGACTAAAAACATCAAACACAACCCTGCAATAAAACCCCAACAAAACGCACAATAAAGAACATAAAACTGGAAAGATGGCTACCCATAATGCACTCTGGAGCCGCATGCGGCTCTTTCATCCATCTGATGATGCGGCTCTCTGCTTGTAAAATAATTAATGATTATTTAATTTAAATATATTTTATTTTACTGCATTCATTTTTATCTGTATGCTAATTCCAAATGTAAAGATAGTCTGCGTAAACCTGAACAGGCCCAACAGTTGACGGGTCACCTGCTTGGCATAATCAGATGTCTCTATAGGAGCTTTCTGAGCTGAAGAGGATGTGAGGTTCTGGACGTTTCCTCAGACAGGCTCATGGATGCGACGCCATGTTGGAGAAATGAACAAGAGCTATTTAGCCAAAGTTTCATCATCAGGGAACATTTTCTAAGGAACCTCCCCGCAGGGCTCTGGTTCTGCAATGCGCTCCAAGCCCCCGATCTACACATCTTCAGCTCACTGTCAGCACCTTACGTGACAGCGAGCTGCACGGACCTCAGTGCCCAGCTCAGATGTTAAATGAAAAATGACCCGCGCTTGTATAGCACCTCTCAGAGTAAGGACTCCAAAGCGCTTTACACTACAGTGTATCATCCACCCATTCACACACACATTCAGCTATGATGTAGCCACAGCTGCCCTGGGGCGCACTGACAGGCGAGGCTGCCGGGCACTGGCGCCACCGGTCTCTCCGTCCACCACCAGCAGGCAAGGTGGGTTAAGTGTCTTGCCCAAGGACACAACAGCAGCATTCTCTGTCCGGAGCCGGGATCGAACCTGCAACCTTCCGATTACTGGACAACCCGCTCAACCTGTTGAGCTACTGCTGCCCCATGTTCTGACGGGAATCTTTTCTTGATTGGTGTAGCTACCTCCGCGATGTGCGTAACGATAAAAATGTCAGCGCATCTGCAGCCTTGAGGTTTCTCTGTCAAAATAAGTGATCAAATACGGGAAATGTCCAGTTATTGTGAACCCTGTCATTTAACTGTTTTGCCTTCCTGTGAAGATTGTTGCAAACAGGAACATTAAACTTGATTAACACCAGAGCCATGCGCGCTACGCCATTATCTCCATCTCTGTAAATGGACCCAACCTTACCTGGATGTCTCATGTCTTACATATTCTGGAAGTTGTGCAAATGCAGGGATGGGAGTAGATATTCTGCTGGGGTGGGGCTGGGTTGGTGCCCTCGGACTCTGTGAAGCTCTGTAATGCTGCTGCTTTGGGCCCTGGCAGGATGGGCTGGAGTCTCCATGCCCTGGGTGGCATTTTGACAACAGAGGTGCCTATTGGGGCCAGTGGGGGAGCTGGCTCCCTGGAGGGCTAAGCCCAACCAGCCATTCATCCCCATCCCCACATATTTCTCTCCTCCTGCTCCCTCAC